AGAGAGTAAATTTTAGAGTCGTGAAAATCGTTTAAAATGCGAGCGCAGCGAGCATGCTAAGGTATTATTAAAAAAAATGTCTAAAGTTAAAAAAACAGAAAAATTAGATGAGCCGTTCTTCATTTTATCAAAAAAATAGATCAGCTCTTTCATAAATTTTTTTAAGTCACCCAAGTATTAAGTACAGTGTAACTTCGATAATCCGAATTAACTGGGGAAAAGGTGTGTTCAGATAAGCGATTTGTTCGAATAAACGATTTTCCCAAAAATATGAAAGGGAAATGAATAACAATTTCATACACTGGTAAAAACAAACTTAAATAAAGTTTTCTTAAGCAACAATGGATGATCAATATGTATATTCCAAAAAATATTACTCCCTGACAAAAAACACGCTATATTTTTGGAATTAGCACGTCAAGATCTATAACTCTGAATTTTCTGAGAATTTTTGGACGACTTTTTCAAAAATGAAGTTTTTCACAAATTTCGACCCAATTTCGATGATTTTCGAAATTTAACTAAATATATCTTCCAAACATTATTCCAGAATCACCCATTGAAATGTCGTAATTTTTAAAAATTTCAAAAAATTTAAATGTCCCACCCAATAATTACAAAATCCATATTTCCTTGCAAAAATGTACCATTGTAATCATGTACTAAGTTTCTTGTTGTGAAAAGACGGCTATGTATATTAAGCAAAAAAAGTCAAAATATAAGCCCCGCCCACCCACCCTATCTTAATTCTGATGATTTTTTTTATCGTCATATGTCAAGAGGGCGGCAGTTGCAAAACTCTTACTTCTTTACAAGAAACAGAAAACATGTTTTTGAGTATCGTGTTGTTTAAAAAGTATTTGGTATATTAAGAAAAAAACAAGTCAAAAATTAAGCTCCACCGATATCCATCCCAAATTCACAGGTACGGAGAATGCAAAACCAATATATTTAACGCAGAAAACATACGGGAAAAATGTCCTGTCAGTAATAATGACTTGCTTAAGTTCAAGTGTTTATTTTTATAATTCGAAAGAACCTGACGATTAGCACGATCATTTATCAAGTATCAGCGATGTTCAAGAAGAATATGGACTATCTTATATAGAATTTGTATTAAGTTTCGAAGCGGTTTTAATTATATTTAGCAAATTAATAGAAAAAAGAAAAAATTTAATTCCAAAAAATTTAAAAAAATCTTTTGAACGATGTTGCTACTATCATGGAAAAAACACCACTACATGAAGAACTCCTTCTCGATTCTGAATCTGAAGTTATTTTGACCATATTTTGCCAATAAATGCTAAACACTGAAATAATTTCCAAAAATTTTGAAAAAAAAATTAAAATGTCTTACGGAGAAAATACTGGATTATGAAGTATTTTCCTTAAGTGACAAGTTTGAAATCATTTTAAATAAAAGTCATCAGTCATAGTCATCACATAAGCGAGAAAAATACGAAAATATTTTCAAAAATTTTCCAAACAAAGTTGAAACATGTTTTTATTATCATGGAAAAAACACTAGTGCATGAAAAATTCTTTGTAGATTCCGAATCTCGAAAAAGTTACTTCGGCTATATTTCTTCAAATAAATGCGAAAAACTGTAAAATAAATTCAAAAAGTTTCCAAAAAAAAAAGTTTTTAGTTCATTCTAAGGAAGAAAATATTGGATTATTAAATATTTTCTGTAAATTACAAATCTGAAACCATCTTTAATAAAACTCCTCAATTAAGCGGCAAAATGAAAAAATATTTTCAAATATTTTCCAAACAAGATGTTCAAATAAACTATGCATAATCAAAATTTTTTTGTACACTTGGAACTGGTTTTAGTTATAGTCTCCAAAAAAATGTATTTTCTCAAGTAAAAAAAAAAGAAAAAGAAATTTAAAACACGGTTCATTCTAAGAGAATAAATATGGTATTTTTAAATTTTTCCCATAAATTACAAATTTGCAAAAAAAAAAAACAAAAAGGAACGGACAAGTTTGACATCGAACGTGCGACCACAGGGTCGGAGTGCCGATAAATAACCCACAACTCAATGAAGAGTTATATTCCGTTTTAGTAATAAAATATTACTCGTATTATAAATTGACCTTTTTTTGCGAAAATTTGGACATTTAGAGAAAAAAACTCGAAGCGGATTGATTGGTAGACCACAAATAGAGAACTACATTAGTGTATACATTTAAATAATTTTAAACGACAATCATTTAAGATGACGTCATCATTTTAGTTAATGTTTTACCATTTACATGATAATCCTTAATATACTTACATATAATGTCAAATTTGGCAACAATCGGTCCAGTAGTTTCGGCAATAATCTGTCTAATCACAATTTATAGAGACCACAGACAAATAGACGACGGACAGGCAGCTTACGCTCAGAAAGTAAATTTTAGAGTCGCGAAAATCGTTTAAAATGCGAGCGCATCGAGCATGTTTTGGTATTATTAAAAAAAAATTGTATAAATTAAAAACTGGCCCAAGTAATAAGTAATTATACCAACTAGGAATGTATTGAGGGACAGGGATAAATGGATTAATTTTAATTAACAATTTATTATTACATGTTTGTAAGATTTCAGAGCACTGAGTTTTACAGTTTCAAAGATCAATTGCAAAATATTGTCGAACAATTTTGATTTTTTCCTAGAAATCTGGATGTCTGGGGTAAAAACCAACACATTTAATAAATTTAAAAGACATTTACTATGGAGAATTTTGAGATGACGTCATCACATTGTTGGTGGGGATGACCAGACAAAGATTCGTCCAATAGATAATTTACACTCGGGAAGTAATAGAAACGAATTTAGATAATAAAAAAGTCGGAGCCTAAAATTGTACCGTCCTTTGAGTAGCATACATTAAAATTATTTTAGATTATAAAGAGTGTTTTGTTTTTGAGGCATAGCACACAACTTAAATTTTCTAAACTATCTCATCTACCTCAAGAACTCTGTTATTTTCTTGGATACAAACAGCGAACTAACCACAAAAAGAGGATTTATGTTTCTTGGGTTTCTACGATTTTTTCTAGTTATTTTAGAATTTTTGTTTTTTTTCTGTATTTCTCAGGATTTAGTCCATTTTTTCGATTTTTTTGATAGTTTTTATTTTTTGTTTTTCTGATTTTATCATGTTTTGAATTTTTCGGATATTTTCGAGTTTATATATTTTTTGGATTTCTTGAACTTTTTGAGTTTCGTGGGTTTCTTGGATTTTTTAGAATTATATGTTTTTTTTTTTTGTATTGTATTGTCTTGAATTGTTTGCATATTTTCGATTTTTTGGATTACTGGATTTCTTGAGTATTTTTCGGATTTTTCGGATTTTTCTAGGGTATTATTTCGTCAATAATTTAACGTTATTGACGAAATAAACCGATAAGACATAAAACCATAATCAGTTGAGCTGCGTTATTCCAATTTTCTTAAAAAATATTTACCAGTGGAAGGGTTCACAAAATAAATCGCAATAACGTTATTTTTTAAATAAGTATTGCACTATTTTTTAGACAGAGGTACGTGTTTTGTGCTGATATCAATTCAATCAAATTTTAATGTACAGGTATTTTTTAAAAAATTCTAAAATGTCACAATTTTTAAATATTGATATTTCAATTTTTTCAAATAGAACACCCTGTATTTGATTTCTGCATCTTAAACTATTTTTGTTCTCTCTTTCAACATGTCGGTGCACATCTTAAAAACGTAAAAAATAGCACTAACTATGAAGTTTAAATACAGAAAATACTTAACAACAAAGAAGGAGAAGAGAAAACAAGGTGCAGTAATTAAATACACGGTGTCCTAATTGAAAAATTTGAACATATTATATATACAGGGTGTTATTGAAAGGTACGTACAAAATAAAATCGGCAATTGGTCTTGAAGTATGGTTGCTAAAATTAAAAAAAAGTTCAGGTAAAAGTGTGGTGTTATTAAAAATAATTCTTTACTGTCTCTGAGAACTTACAAATTTATTAACAAAAAATGTATTTATCGCCTGCAAAAAGTGAATCTTAAAAACAGTTGGCACTATTAAATTTGGGAAGACTTAAACATGCTCGCTGCGCTCGTATTCTAGAGGTGTCTTTTTTTAATCTAGAGATTTGTTGTTACAATTGAAGCCAAACCAACTTCACTAAGACTCTTTTTTTAACATATCTGAGACTAACTTAAAAAAAACACGTTTAAAATGTTTTTAGAGATAAAAATTATTAAAATTTATGTCCAAATTTGTTGTACACCTCTGATAAAAAGGTCATCTTTCGTTTCTATAGCAACAAAAGCGTCTCTCACTTTTTTATTATTGTTACAATTGCTAGGATTTATTAAAATAAATTAATTTTACCTATTTATCCTTTAGTAGCGTCTAAAAAGGTTGGATAGTTGATCTGAAGCAATCAAGGAAGCTAAAAAGATTTTAAATAGTGCTAAATTAAATCAGAACTTAAGTTTCATAAGTAACAACTACGAATTAATTGGTGTAACATTAATAAAGTTAGAAAAACAAAAAGTACCCCTATGTGAATCCGTACAGCTAATAGAAAATTAAAAAAAAATATCAATAAAGCACAAAGTCCTATTGCTCAAACAGTCTCAAAAAAACTGTGTCGTCTCTTAAATATGCCCCAATAACATCTGTCGATGTAGTGCGTAGTTTTTCAGTGTATAAACATATTTTAAGTGATCGAAGACATTCATTTAAAATGGAAAATCTAGAAAAACATGTTATAATAAATGTAAATAATAATATTTTTCAAGAAAGTAACTAGTTATTCAACAAAATAGCGCGTTAATAGAGTAATAGAACACACCGACATAGTTAGTTTTAATTTATAAATGTGTAGTTTAAGCACATTCTTAAAACGATATACAGTCGTTCCGAATTTCACAGTTTATCCAAATAAAGGAAACATTTTCAAGTGGACTACTCATCGTCCTCCATGGCGCTCTTCCAGAAGGCCGATCCTCCACCACCGCCGCTCCCACATGCCAAAGCTCCCGCTCCCACGCGCAGAGCTTTCCGAAAGCCAAGCTACCATCAGCACAGTTTTGGTCTAAACGCGGCTCGAACACCATCTCCAGAGGCGTCGCAGCCCCCGAAGCGCGTCCATTCGAGTGCGCCTCGACCCATGTAACTCGCCTCGTAATAACCCAAGTGACTCTAGTGTAGCGCACCCAGCTAAGCCCAGTTGCAAATATTGTCCGACAAACATCGTAAATTATTGTGTCACGTTGTGTTTAATGTTTTTAATCAAAAGGCGGCAAATTCTAATGCTGTAGATTAGTAATAGCGTAGTAAGAAATGCACTCAGACTTTTCGTCCGAGGGAAAGTCGTGCCTCGGGTTTCGCCACCAGTGAAAGCGGATGGTTTGGTGTCTTCCGGTGGCTGCTGTAAGTACACGTTTTGTGGCGTTTTTGTGTTTTTGGCGCAGTGATGGATTTTCGGAGATGTGTGGGTCTGGGGAATGTTCGTTTGTTTCGAGGTTTAAACAAACTATTTGTCTATGACCGGAATGGGAATTTATGGCCGGGATAAATTTTAATTGCGTTGGAGATGGCGATGTGTTTCATAAAAGCTTTGTTGGCTGGAAATGCTGTTTATGTGGGGATTATTCGGCGGGGATTTTTATTGTGGGTAGTTCGAAATGGTATGCGGAGGTTATTTAGTTTGAAGTGTGGTTTGATTATGAAGAGTGGGAATTTTTGTTAGCGAGATATTTGAAGTGATGGTATTGCAAATTTCATTTCGTTTTGGTTACAGGATAAATTTTCATTTTCTAAAAAAGACCTAAATAAACACAAATTAATGTAAAATTAAAGTTCTCAAATCGTAACTTAATTTTTTTTTTTTTGAATTTTTTTTATGTTTGTACAAATTTGGTGGCGTTTTATGAATACCTATTTATTTATTTAATAATAATCAACGTAATGGAACGTAGAATACAAATGTGATTTTTTTTGCGAAAATCTGTAAACTTAGTGTAAAAATTCAAAGTGGATTTATAAACCACAAGTACGTTATGTTATTTTATGAAATTTAAGTAGCAAATATATGATATTACTAACATATAGTCCAATAAAAATTGTCAAAAATGACAGTCGACAGATGGAAAGGAAGACCTATTTTTTTGCATTCTAGGATTCAAGAAAATAAAGGTACAATCTCTTTAAAAATTGCTTTTTAAATTTTTTTTATACATCGATTTATTGATGAAAAATAGTAAAATGGTCCATAACTTGGATTTAATATTTCGAGTGCAGCGAGCACGTACATGCGTTATTAAAAATCACTCGTCACTGCACCCGAGAAGCTAAATTATTAACAAGAGATTTTTTTATTGTCCACTAAAACGAATCCTAAAAATTTTATCCTGCATACTTCTAAAAATCTGAAAAAAACAAATTTAAAATGCGAGCACAGCGAGCACATTCAGATGTAATTTAAAAATATATCCACTTATTTCCCTGAGACGGTAAATTATCAACAAAAATATTGTTGTTATTTAAAAATGTGAGTTTAAAGACTGTTTGTGATAACTATAATATACCTAGCATCCTGAACGTGCTCGCTACGCTCGCATTTATGAGTGTCTCTGGGAAGTATTAAATTAGTACCAAAAAATGTATTTACCGTCTACAAAAAAGTGAATCTTAAAAGTAGTTGTGACTATTAAATTTGGGAAGACATGAACATGCTCACTGCGCTCGTATTCTAGAGGCGTATTTTTTTTTCATCTAGAGATTTATTATCACAATTGAACCCAAACAATTTCGCTAAGACTCTTTCTTTAATATATCTGAAACTAAATTAAAAAAAAAAGATTAAAATGCGAGCGCAGCGAGCACGTTTAGGTGTAATTTAAAAAATCATTTCCTTATATCCTTGAGAAGCTAAATTATCAAGAATAATTTTGTTATTTAGAAATGAGAGTTCAAAGACTGTTCGCGATGATGGAAACATCGTGAACGTGCTCGCTACGCTCGCATTGTAGTGGTTATTTTTTCAGAATAATTTACCTTCACAGAGAGATCTCGAGAATTATTATAATAAAAACTAAATAGCTTTACACCATTCATTCGTAAATGTTTTTATAACAATCAACTAATTAGAACATTCAGAATGCGAGCGCAGTGAGCACATTTAGGTGTTTTTCAAAATTATTCGTCGGTGTCCCTGGGAAGCTAAATAATTTTCAGTGAATTGAATCTTAAAAACAGTTGTGACTATTAAATTTGGGAAGACTTAATCATGCTCGCTGCGCTAGTTTCTAGAGGTGTGTTTTTTAATCTAGATATTCATTATTACAATTTAACCCAAACAACTTCCATAAGACTCTTTTTTTAATATATCTGAGACTAAATAAAAAAAAACCTTAAAATGCGAGCGCAGTGAGCACGTTCAGGTGTTATTAAAAGAAATTTGATCATTAAAATAGATTGGCTCATTCATTAAATTTTTTGAGTCACTCGATTAGCGATTTTTTTTCTTTTTTTAACAACCTAAGTTCTATTACTTTCCATTTCCTTTCTACAGACTTATGGATATAATATAATTAACCCCGCCCACCCACCCCTTCTCCATTTCAGTGATCCATTTTATATATTTATTATATATTGTTAAAAGAAATTTGATCAATAAAATAGATTGACTCATTCATTAAATTTTCTAAGTCACTCGATTAGCATTTTTTTTTCTTTTTTTGACTATCTAAGTTCTATTAGTTTATATTTCCACTCTACAGAATTATCGTTATAATATAACTAACCCCGCCCACTCACCCCTCCTCCATTGCACTGATTCATTTTATATATTTATTATATATTATTAAAAGAAATTTGATCAATAAATAGATTGGCTCATTGATTAAATTTTTTGAGTCACCCGATTAGCGTTTTTTTTTCTTTTTTTAGCAACCTAGATTATATTAGTTCCCATTCCCAGGCTACAGAATTATCAATGTAATATAATTAACCCCGCCCCACCCACGCCTTCTCCATTTCAGTGATCCCTTTTATATATTTATTACATATTGTTAAAAGAAATTTGATCAATAAAATAGATTGGCTCATTGATTAAATTTTTTGAGTCACCCGATTAGGAATTTTTTTCTTTTATTAACAACCTAGGTTCCACTAGTTCTTATTTCCATTCTGCAGACTCATTAACATAATATAATTAACCCCGCCCACCCACCCCTCCTCCATTGCACTGATCCATTTTATATATTTATTACATATTGTTAAAAGAAATTTGATCAATAAAATAGATTGGCTCATTGATTACATTTTTTGAGTCACCCGGTTAGCAATTTTTTTCTTTTATTAACAACCTAGGTTCTACTAGTTCTTATTTCCACTCTGCAGACTCATTAACATTTAATAATTAACCCCGCCTACCCACCCCTTCTCCATTTCAGTGATTTATTTTATATATTTATTCTATATTATTAAAAGAAATTTGATCAATAAAATAGATTGGCTCATTGATTAAATTTTTTGAGTCACCCGATTAGCAATTTTTTTCTATTATTAACAACCTAGGTTCTACTAGTTCTTATTTCCACTCTGCAGACTCATTAACATAATATAATTAACCCCGCCCGCCCACCCTTGCTCCATTTCAGCTATTCATTTTATATATTTATTATATATTGTTAAAAGAAATTTGATCAATAAAATAGATTGGCTCATTGATTAAATTTTTTGAGTCACCCGATTAGCATTTTTTTCTATTATTAACAACCTAGGTTCTAATAGTTCTTATTTCCACTCTACAGACTCATTAACATAATATAATTAACCCCGCCCACCCACCCCTCCTCCATTTCACTGATTCATTTTATATATTTATTATATATTATTAAAAGAAATGTAAACAATAAAATAGATTGGCTCATTCATTAAATTTTCTAAGTCACCCGATTAGGGTTTTTTTTTCTTTTTTTAACAACCCAGATTATATTAGTCCCATTCCCAGGCTACAGAATTATCAATGTAATATAATTAGCCCCGCCCATCCACACCTTCTCCATTTCAGTGATTCATTTTATATATTTATTATATATTAATAAAAGAAAATAGATTGGTTCATTGATTAAATTTTTTGAATCACCCGATTACCGTTTTTTTTTCTTTTTTTAACAACTTAGGGTCTATTAGTTCCCATTCCCACTTTACAGAATTATTAATGTAATATAATTAAACCGCCCACCCACCCCTCCTCCATTTCAGTGTAATATTTTATATGTTTGTTGTATATAAATAAATAAGAAATATTATTATTATTATTTTATATTTTTAAAGGAAATTTTATCAATAAAATAGATCGGTGAATTCATAAAATTTTTTGAGTCACCCGATTACAGATTTTTTTCTTTTTTTAACAACCTAGGTTCTATTAGTCCCCGTTTCCACTCACTCTACACACTTATCGACATAATATAATTAACCCCACCCACCCACCCCCTCCTCCATTTCATTAATTCATTTTATACATTTATTAAATATTATTAAAAGAAATTTGATCAATAAAATAGGTTAGCTCATTCATTAAATTTTCTAAGTCACCCGATTAGCGTTTTTTTTTCTTTTTTTAACAACCTAGATTCTATTAGTTCACATTCCCAGGCTACAGAATTGTCAATGTAATATAATTAACCCCGCCCACCCACCCCTACTATATTTCCGTGACTGCTTTTATATAGTCTAGTTGAATGGTTATTATATTGAGCAGAAATAAAATCGTTAGAATGAAAACAGGGCGGGTGGGCGGGGCTAGTATCTGCTAAGATAAGACTAAGTTTAGCAAATGACGTCTAAGAAAATAAAGGGTGGGTGGGCGGGGCTAGTATACAAAACTCACTTGGCACTTAAGCCGCTTTAGCCAAAAAAACTGACTTGAAAAATATAGCGTGTTGATAGTTCCGGACCAAGGTTTTCAAAATATTTAGTCTCAAATTCGTATTTTGAAAATATCTCAAAAATTACCATTTTTCATTTAGGTAATTCCGAAGAAGTGGTAGGAACTTTCGAAGAAATAAAGCCGAAAAACTTTTCTAGAGGTCAAAGTCAACAAGAAAATATTTTTGCCAAATTTCGAAGGGAAAAGCCGAAAATTTTGTTGAAGAACTTAACTTTTCACAAAAACGTTCAAAAATTCACAAAAAAATCTAAGATTTAAATTTCGATGATCTTAACTGAAAAATGCAGCGTGTTGTTAGTGTCGAACCAATATTTTCGAAATATTCAGTTTCAAATGCAAAATTTTAAATTATACCAATAATTTCCCTATTTCATTTGAGTAATTACGAAAATTGGTAGAAACTTACGAAGAAATGAGGTCGAAAAAGCTTTCTGGAGGTTAAAATCACCAAGAGAATGTCTTTGGCTAA